TTTTCTTCTTATGCAGAAATATTTATGCGTAAAATCGCACTTAAATCTGTCAGATAAATCATTACTGTCTGGTGATGAATCCAAACCAGTTCCATTGCTAGTGCACTGTAACACGGATATTTTGTTAACATTGTCTAGATACCAGCCTTTCTCTGGACAGATACATACTTTGATTCAGAGGTTTTCAAGTATACCTTTTACTATGAAATGGTAACATTTTCTGCCTTGTATTAGCTTCTCATAAGTCTTTAAGATGTAACTTATTTTGTAAAGCTAAAACAGGGCCTTGAAAACAAGTGTGCGTATTTGTGGAAAGCCATTTGTCCTTCAGGAAACGGGGTCCACTTGTTAATTTTCATGGTTGCAATTAGCACAAGATGTTATTTAAAATAAAGAATAGTAAATGTGGAGTATTTAACTGGAGCTTTCAACATGTGGTTTTTTTTTTTCCGGAAGATAAAGCCTTATTTTAAGCATTCATCCTTTGGATGTATTTAATGATGATGGAGTTAAATGATGAGGTAATTAAAAAAAAACTGTGAATAGTAATGCTTAGAGAGTTGGGTGATGGGTACATCAAAAATACAGAAAATTATCTTTGAATGGAGATCAGGAGAGGATAGAGTAATAGGTCTGCGTACGTTTCTATCTCCTTTGAGTTGATAGGAGCGTGTGCTGTCTTTCTCTCCTGGCAGAGGTCGGCGGAGTTGATGAGGAGCTGCTTGGAGTCGGGAGCCGCCTGGAACACAATGCCCTACCCCGCTCCTGGCCTTGGGAAGTTGTGAGCTGCTCATGTCCATAAGGAGGAAGGATGGCTCATGGAATTCCTTCACAAGGCAAAGTTACCATCACGGTGGATGAATACAGCTCCAACCCAACGCAGGCGTTTACGCACTACAACATTAATCAGAGCAGGTTCCAGCCTCCGCATGTGCATATGTGAGTATTCCTGACGTTGCCTGCGTGCGTGCCTGCCTGCGTGCCTGCCTGTGCGGTGAAACTGAGAACTGCTGCTGAAGGAGTGGGTTGGAAACGGGAAAAATTGGTTAGTCACATTAGCTAATAGGCAAAATGGTTATCAGATTTCTCACATGGCGCGTTTGAGAAAGGCTGCTCCATCATCTCCTGGAGATAACTGTGGCTGCCGGAGGCCTGGCGAAGCTTGCCCCAGCGGTGACTAATAGGGGACGTTTTCTGAAACTTGTCACTTTCCTGATCTCACTTTAACTCGCCTGAGGGACCCGTTGCTTTAAAATTTAAGCTCCCTTCCCCCAGCCCTTACACTCAGCTGCGAAATAGGCCTAATTGGGACTAATTGTCCCCCCTGATCACTGAATCCTTTGTCCTCCTGGTTGCGAGTGGAACGTGTGCCGCATGCCGCATTCCACCCGCAACCGGCCGCACAAAGGAGTCGGGGCTGCCCAGCGGTTCCTCCCAAGACATACAAATACAGCGTTAAAACCCCGTCCCTGGCCCGAGCTTAAACCGAGGAAAGCATGGGAAGTGGGGAGCCGAGGGCTCCTTACCTCACCTTGTTATTCCTGGGTATTGTGTGACCTGCAGGATCGCTCTGCTGCACAGTACCTAGGCACAATGGTTTGCGTTAGGAGCTAAGTACCAGCTTTAACTCTGAATTTCCTTCCCATTGTTTAGTTAGGTTTGATCTTTATCGGTTATTTCTGTGAAGGTTCTGTTTTTTCTTTTAACATTAATAGACTGAAAAGCACGTGAAACTAAAACAAAGACGACATCTCTTGACCTCCTGCGTGCCATTGTTAGTCAGGATTTTGAACGATGTCACACTATTGAATTTGATAAGGATTTTGCATAATAAGGGGGGGAAAGTTGTATGGTACTTCATTGCATTTTTGTTATGTAGAAGCCTGCCGGAAGAGTCACAATGTAGGAGTTCAGCACCTTCTAATAGGATTTCATGTGGTTACAATCTTCCTAAAGGCAACTCTAGGAAGGATGCTGAAGAGTGTCTGTCATGCATGCGACCTTTCAAGGTGGAAAAAGTTTTCATTAATTACATTTGATTAATTACTACAATGATGATGTAACTCTTCTTTTAGAAATACTTCCATTTCTTGATTCACTTTTGACACCTTTTGTCAGCAAATTTCCATTGCGTGTTTTGCGCTCCAGACTGCACTTCTGACTGACCTTTAGTACAAATTCTATGCAGAGAATGAATTCAGAGCAAACAAAAGAAATTTACAAAGCAGTTTTTAAAGTACCCCTTCTTACTGGTATTGATTTCAGTGGGGGCTGATTTTAGGACCAACAAAGTGTGGTGTTCAACATTGTAAAAATTCCTCATGCGTTGTTTCAGAAACTCACAAACATTTATACAGCTACTTCCCTAATAATTTGTATATCTCTTAAATGATGGTGACTTGACATGCCTTAAAAGATATTTTACTTGTTTGGAAAAATTCATCATTGAAATAAATACTGAAACTATGAAGTACGATATAGTGACAGTATTTTAAAGGATTTTTAACTGAAATACTGCAGCTTTCTCAAAATCGGTAATTTGGTTTCAAGGAAAGGTGTGGCATTAAAAGGGAGATAAAAAATCAGAAAAACTGGAAGGGGATTAGTCTCAGATTTACAATGGAAGCAAAGAAAACAGTGTTGCAGTGTAGGAGGTGAGTTCAGGTGTAGGTTTGGATAACAAACGATGGGTTTTGGAAAACCTGTTGAGGAAAAAATGACAGGATCCTACCAGGTGTCTAGAGTAGTGGGCAGAGAAAAGCAAGGCAATGGAGATAGGACTGTGGCTGTGGGTTTGTGTGATGGTAAGAACCCTAGGGTTATTTCTGGGGAGGAGAGACTAGAGCATGTGCTAGCTTCAGAGGGGGTCCTTATTTGTCTTCCCAAGGTTTTGTAATGGAAGCATGCATATTTCTGAAAGAGGATGTCATCAAGCAAGAAACCCGAACAGAAAATTGGTAAAGGCAGTATTAACAAAGAAACCGTGATCTTTTACGCTGTTGTATCTTCAGTAGTGCCACGTTGCTGCAGCTGCCAGGATTGTTTGATTTGATTTGGTTTTACAATCTGCTTTTCTTTTTTGCTATCTTAAAGTAATGCATGCCTGCCTTTTTTTTTTTTTTTTAAGAGGGCGTTTGAGGAGGTTTTATTCTTCTCTAGTGAAAAATTTATTTAAAGAATCATGGGATGATGAAAAATGAGTAAAGCAACACAGGAACTGAGCGTTACAACATGTATGTGAATAGCAGGGCAATATATTGCTACAGGGCCCTGCTGCATACCATAAATCAGTGGCTGGGTGCAGGTTAAGGACAATGCTCTTTCCTAAAGGAAATAATTGTTTTTAAAAGTAATTTCTTTATGGATAGGCATCTTCGCGTGCAAAGGCGAGAACTGGATTCTTGGCATATACTGAGCCATTTCTTGTTCCAGTATCCTTTGGGCTTGACTCGCACACAGAGTAAACGGGAGAGTCTGTGGAATATCGCCAGCGTAAAGCTGGTGGTTAATGCACTACTGGCGTTACGCTGCCTGTTCGTGGGACGCGTGTCCTGCGCTTTCTCTCCCACTTTCATTTTCTGCCTTTTTCATGACAGTATGCTGTGGCTCAGCCTTCAGGGATACAGTTCTCTTTTATCACCTTTATATGTATTTTTATACCAGCACTTCTTAGTGAATCTGTTTAAGTGTACTACCTGGTAAATACCAGTGTATTAAGGCTCCCTTTGCTTAGGCTGGCCGTGACAGCAGTTTTGTCAGTTACTTAGGTTGTGGTATAGTATGACTTTTGAATCAGTTTGTCCAGTCTTTGTATTTTATTTCTCTACTAATTAATGTTTGAATAGGTGTTCTAAAGACAATTTTTACTGTACAGTTATTTTGGATAAAGGGATATCATGTTGAATATTTTGTCATCTTGAAGCGAGGCTCCCACCCACAGGTTTCACTTGTTTTCTGAAGATGTTATAAAATGTTTGTATTTGAATGCTTTGTACAAGTCATGTTTTCTTTCAGTTAGTTTTAATTAACAGCATCACCTTAGTTCCCTGCTTTAAAGGGCAGCTGCAAAATAATAACAATTATAATGTGCCTGCCTTTGCTTCTTAATGATTATTCTTCCTCTGAAAGTCTTCGTACTCCAGTTTTTTGTCAGGAATTGTGACTCGAAGAGGCAAATGCCTCTTGCTCCTTCAGTGTCGTGCTGCCAAGTATTATAAGGTTTTAAAAAACAAACAAACAACAGAAGACCCAAACCCCCAGACTTGTAAGCCTGTTTAGACCCGTGAGATGTTCTGTATGAGGCTGTGGTCAGTGGTGCCAGGGATCCCGGTGAGCAGCAGTGGGATGCAGCCCCGGGGCGGGATGGGAACACGAGGGAGGAGCTGGCAGCCGGGCTTCAGGCTGCAGAAGGCTTCATCCTGTGAAACCACAGCCTCAAAGTAGAAAGGATAGAGAAAATTTCTACTATTGTAAGAAAACATTAGGAAAAAAGTAAAAATGGCTAAACTTAGAAGGTAATTGAATTCATCAGGTATATTCGTCATTTGCTCAGGGTGTTCTCTCTTTTTTTGTAAGACTTCTTTTTTTTTTTTCTTTTCTCCTTCTTCTTTTAACTCTGCAGCTTTACAGCAGCCACCACAGTGGGTCTTTAAACCGTTTTAATTTAACAGGAATTACTAAGGCTTGTTATGTGGAACCTTCCCATCTCACCCATTCTTTTTTTTTTCCTCAGAGCAATGGAAAAGAACTGAGAAGAAAATAGGACAAATCCAAATGGAAAATCATTTACTTAGGTTTTAACCAGAGGGAAAAATCTTCCTGTTTGGGTACAACACTCCATTTACTTTCAGGGGAAAGAAAGGGGAGAGTGAAATAATCTTTGTGTATCAGTCATGGAAAATGCCCATTTTGACAGGCCCAGGTGGTGAGGATGAGGGAGTTCTGTGGAGATAAACTGGCTGCAGCCTGAGTGACTGCAGGCTGAGCCTTGTTAGAGGGGTTCGTTAGCTTTCCTCTGCTCTCACAGAATGGCTCGGCGCCTTGGCTTTAGGATACTTGGAGTACACACCAAAACTCTGGTATGGTTTAAATTCAGTAGTAGGGGAGTAAAAAAGATAGAGGTTTCTGTGCCAGAGCAAAAGTCTTCTAAATGAGTTTATGCATATTTGGAGATACATTGAACAATCTGTAACTATGTTATTTTACTGCCTTTTCTGTACTGGGGTAATTCCCCGTGTGAATATTCTTATTTTAAAACAAAGAGCATAAACAGAGTTTTATATTCCTAAACTATGTATATATAGTTGAATAAAGTATTTAAATGTATGAATGTGTGTAAATGTGTATATATAATAATAGTAATATAAAAATATAGCTGTATAATCATAGAAGAAAAAACTTTCAACTGTGACAAAACCTTAAATTGTTAAAACCCAGAGATCTTATTAGACTACTAACCTTGAGAAATAGGATCTTGCGTATTTTTTTTTCTTGGGGAAACCATCCTGCATTTAATGGGTTTTATAAACTCACGCTGAGATTAGTGGGAAATCATGCATTTGATTTGTAATACTCTCAACTTCTGTTTTGTATAAGGTGTGTGGTACTTACGGGGAGGGGGAAAGAGTTGGCATTAGTAGAACATGGACTCATTTGACATTTACAGAAGAGTGGATTTCGTATATGTAATAATACTCGTTGAGAGAATACAGACATTTAGTCTTAAGCTAGTTAAGTCACTAGTGTGACTGGGCAGGCTATTTGAGTTGATAACGATGTGATAGAGGATCGTAGTTTTGGTGGAAATTGTCGCTCTGTCCATATAATAACCCTTCTTAGAAAAGTAGACATAGCTCAAGACCACTTAAGTTCCTTTTCAGTACTTATTTTTCTAAATAAATCGAAAAAAACAGTACTCCCTGAAACAAGCAAGTTACATT